TGATTGACCGGTAATGTACTATGTGGATGATTTTATTGTTGACCAGAGTACTGTTGGATGCTGAGGCACCATGTTTATGTATCGCTTATGTACGCATAGTGTTGTTTGTTTAACCCTCAGGTATTGGGGAGTATGTATGGGTTTTAAGCTCTCTTTTGTATTGAGAAGTTGTTAATGGGGTCAATGATCCTAACGTTGTTGCTTGCTTGGTACTGTATGATGAGTTAGTTGTGTGACGGCCTGTGTGCCTTAATCACTTTAAGGATTACTTGTTGAGAATGGGAATCCGTGGGAATATGTGTTAGATGTGGTGGTTTTGAGAGTTGCGGGATGTTGGCAAGGTTATGTGTGAATGTTCGTAGGAATGTGAGATTTATATCTCAAGTTAGCGAGAATGGCACCTGTTTGTTGGTTCGTGTTTTGGGCTTTGCTAGTTAGCGAATTCGTGGTGACCCGATCGGTTGTATAGGGGTAGTGTTCGTGTTGGGATTGGTTATCAAATGTTGGGTACGGTTGTCAGTGGAGGCTGGCAGCGTTCTTTGGAGGAAAAACAGTTTGTATTCTAGTAACGAGAATAGCGTTGGTTAAATTATCCTTCGTGATTGGGTAGTTGTAATTAGAGTTGACCTTGTCGGTCTTCGGTTGAGGAGATGAGCAAACTTGCTATCTAGCCATGGAGGGTGGTAATTCCCTTAGAAACAGTGTTGATGTGGTTCGATTTTAGGAGATCCGTTGAAATTCCGAAATTTGGGGGTTTGTGTGGGGAACTCCGTGTTTGGGGTTAGTGGCACTTCAGTATGTGATTTACTAAGAGTGGTGGTTTGTTGAGTTGTTTAGTCAGCTTGTTGGTATCGGGTTTTGGGTCGACATCGGTCACCTTGAAGTTAGTCTCATTTGTTGTAGACTTTGTATGTTGATTAAGGAAAACTGAAACTAATCGAACATGTTATGTCATTGAATCTGACGGTGAATTGAATACATAAATTCTTTGTATCGATTGATTGTGTATAGAACCCTTGTGTTTATATGCATTGCTTGTGTATGGGAGGAGATGGGGGATGTACTCCACGGTTTAGGGGAAGATGGAGGATGTACCTCTAAACCGGTTAATGGTTAAGGGAAAATGGGGAATGGACCCAGGGATGCAGCTCATATGCTCACCCATTGTAGTATTGGATACAGCTCATATGCTTATCTATTGAAGTGTTGATACAGCTCATATGCTTATTTGTTGTAGTATTGATATAGCTCATATGCTTATCTGTTGTGGTAGTGATAAAGCTCATATGCTTATCTTTGAAAGTGTGACATAGTTTTCATACTTTTGTGTTGATAGTACTGTTGTTATTTCTATTAACTATCATTATAGAAATGTTATGTTCTGTTTTGGTTGTGGTATCACTGTGTGCGTGATGGTTGTTGATAGTGTTATTTTGGAAAGAAATGGAAAACAAAACTTTTCCTAGTATTTGGGCCAGCTAAGGGTGTTGTTGAGAAATTGATTTAATTCAAGGGTTTTGAGGATTTTCAAATGAAAGATTTTTGGCAAATAAACGGTGGATGATTGTGTTTTGGATAACACTGTGTTGGTGAAAAATGTATACAAAGTTTTTGAGTTTCGCATGGAAAATGCAAAGTTTATTTCGAAATGTCAGCATTGAAAATTTGGCTATCTTTGAGAAATGTCTCTCGAGCAAGAAAATGTTTCCTTAATATTTACTCAAAAAGTTGTTTGGGTCGTGTTGTTGCATAGTGACTTAGCTTGAAGCGCTGGTCAGAAGTGAGTAAACTGTTTCAGAAGTGTTGATTTTGTAGTGGCTTTTATGCCTACAGTGTCGTCGTTTGGAATGTGTTCCCTTGGTTAGTCTCTTCCTTGGTAAGAGTGAATTAAAGGTTTGTAGTGAGAGTAGTTTCTTTCCTAGTACTCGGGTGTTGGTGTTGTGTGATCAGTTGGCCTTGTGTTTTGGCGTATCCTTAATTTCGGGGACGAAATTCTTTAAGGGGGGGAGGTTATAGTGATCCCGGTATTCCCTGTTATTGTTTAACCGTAATCCGGACTCGGTTCCGTGGATTCGTTGTTGTTTTATTCTCATTTCTATCCCTTACTCTTTGTGTTAGAGTTTTGGGTTGTGTTGGGCAAGTTGGGAATAAGTTGGCTGTGTTTTAAAACTTAGAAATTTTGCCCACGCTCGAGCGGGGGTTTCGGCGCTCGAGCGGGAAAATCACCTTCCCTGTACTTCCTCTGTAGTGTTGGATGCTCGAGCGTGAGGTTTGACACTCGAGCGGGAGTTTGAGTGTGACACTCGAGCGGGGAGTTGGACGCTCGAGCGGGGACCTGTTTTGCAAAACTTCTAGATGGTGGTATCCGCCGCTCGAGCGGGGGGTTTTGGCGCTCGAGCGGGAATCTGTGAGTGACGCTCGAGCGGGGAGTTCGACGCTCGAGCGGGTCGACCTGTATAACACACCAAGATTCAGCTTTTTGAATCACTTTTTGATTTCCGTTCTCTCTCTTACTTTTCCGAAAAAGCCATTGGAGAGCACCTCACTCTAAAACCTAACTTCTCTCTTAGGATTGATCTAGCCAGAGTGTTTTCCTCACCTTGGGCCTTTGTAAGAAGTGTGTTGATCGTCGAGGGCTTCGTTGTGATCCAAGAAATTTGGGATTTGGAGCACTTTGATTTCGGGTCATCTTTCCCATTTGAGTTCTCCATTTGAGGTAGGGATTCTCCTTGTTCCTTTTCAATACTCCATCTATAGATAGACATGTGGTAATTTTTATATTGCATGAAAATTGTACCATGTTGGGTTTATTTGAAAATCATGAGGGAACCTAGAGTTGGTTAATTAAAAAAAATGGTTTTATTGTTTTTGGGTGTTCATTGGACTATTTGTGGCGTGAAATAGCATGTGCTTGTTGAAATATAGAAAAGCCCTAATTTATATGTGTCATGATGAATTATAAGAGGGAGAAAAACCCTAACTTAATGTTTATGATTTAATTTGCATAATTAGTTTGGAAGGAATGGAATTGATTTTGGAAAAATGAGAAAAGTGTTTTTGGAATAAGTGCTGGAACATATTGATTTGGAAAATTATGAAAATTGATTCTGAAAGTGAAGAATGAAACTTTAACTCTATGTGAGTCATAGAAAATAAATATGGGAATTGGATTGTTGTATCATGCGTGTCGAGTGTACACATTGGGGGGAATAAATTGTAACTACCATGCTTGGGTTGTTAATGGCTTTGTGATCTCATGATAATTGAGTCTGTTAATAGATGTACAATATATTTGCATCTAGAGGTTTTGTCCTTGGTCATCGGTGGAGGATGACATGGTTGTGTTGAATTGTCATGTATGCATTATACCATTGTTAATGGAACATCGTATGTGATGAATTATTGAGATACATTATATATGTATTCTTGCTTGGGAAGAGGTAGATATGTGTTCATATACTTTAACACATTGCTGGTGTCTTGATAGTTTATGTATATGCATTATACATGTTGGTTATGCCTTGATGTGCTGTGATTGTTGGTGTTGTGCCCCGCGTTGAGAATCAAAGGTATCATACCCTTCCAGCTAGCGCCTGGAGAACTGACCGCGCTTAGAATCAAAGGTATCATACCCTTCCAGCTAGCGCCTGGAGAACTGACTGTGCTAATAATCGAAGGTACCATACCCCTCCAGCTAGCGTCTGGTAAACTGGCTTGTTGTTAATGTTGTTGAGTGGGGTGTATTGTTGGCTTACTACGCACATAGCTAGCAGAGTGAAATGAGATTGTTGTTGTTTCGTTGTAACTGAAAATATCATGGATTTTGATTGGTTACAGTTCGGCGGACCGAGTTACTCCATTGGTTGATTGTATACATGTTGGTGGGTTGTAAATTTATATTTTTACGAAGATATGCATGTATAGTTATGATAGTAATGGAAACGAACCAAAATGCCTTTTTGTCTTTTGGAAAGTGTGGAGGGGAACGTATGTTTTAAAGATAAACATGTTTGAAAAGGTACATCTGAGTATGTATAGAAAATGGAAGAGGGTATCGGGCTTGGTGAGATTACTTCCTAAGTATTTGTTAATGTTATGAAAGATTGAGAATGGGGGTTAATGAAAGGAAAAAGGAAAGACAAACCACTTGTAGCGTTGAATTTTCGAGAAAAGTTCATACATATATATTTTGTATAAACTGTCACATTACTATTCTAGTATGAGAATGAGTGTTCATGATCATAGCTATCTGTAAGTTGTTATTGTTAAGGATCATGTTGAGTTCCCTACTGGACTATATGTTCATCCCACGTTGTTGAATCTTTTTCAGGTATTAAGCATGTTGAGCTGCAAGTTTGGGATCTACTTGTTTACTGGCCACGGGGCCTCAGTTATGTTGGAGGAATGCCATTGTTGTAAAAGGCTTACACCCTTCTTCTTGTACCTTAAGTGATGTAAGCCCAAGGGCAATTTGTTAAGTATGTTCATGTAATATTTACTTTGCATACGAACGAGAGTATTGTTAGTCACTTCTACGGATTGAATGTAAAAGTTTATTTCCACATGTTATCCTTAAAATTGAATTAAGTTAATGAATTTGGTAATGACTTCGAGTAATAAAAAGTGGGGCGTGACATATACCAACCACTTCCCGCGAGCCCCAAGTATTCAAACCCGGTAGCTCTGATACCAAGTTGTAACGCCCCGAAATAATTCAACATGAACTACCCACATTAAATAACATTCACTAGACCATGACAATAAACCTCCCATCTTTACAAAGTTAATAAGAGAGTTTATACAAAAGGTTCACATGCGGATATACATTCAACGATAGAAATACAAATGAATCTATAGCACGTGAAGCACCTAGTCTCACAACAATAAAATGCCCTTAACGGCTTACATCTTCCAAGGCAATAGCCCGGTTACACAAAATGGTCTCTCAAACCCATACATGTTTAGCCCTTGGCTTTACACAATTTACAACAAAAATAAGAGAGCTATCTACTCTTCACAAAAATGTCCATGCCCTCAGTTCGGCGGGATCACCACATCTTTACCTGCACCAAATCCCATAGGGGTGAGCATAAAGGCTAGTAGAGAAATCCCAAGCAAAGTATATACATTTATGTATGATGTCCACCACTAAATATAAGTGCAAATGCGACGCAATGCCCTTTTTTTTTGTTCCAAAATAATCTCATGCCATCTCTTCCTTGAAAATCACCATCTTTTCATTAACATTTTGCAATCTCATCAATTTCCAAAACTTCAAATTTTAAATCATAAAGGGGTGGTAAATACGACACTGGTAATCCCTAGGCTGGTGTCTGCAAGTAGACTCTACGAGTACTACCAAATTGTCATTTTTACCGGTATTGACCGGAAGGCTCGACACCTATCCGCGCGGTTTTTTGGTCTTTCACCATTGACACTCAAGCCAACTTATCAAGTTCACTACACCCCCTATCCGGAATTATCACGTATTTTCCCCATACCGTATTCCATGGTTCTTATTACAACATATCATTCTTTTATGAAGTTAATATTTTTCAATCTAAACTCACAATGTATGATAAGAATAATTTGAGACATGTATGCAATGCAATGATATTTCCCATACTTCATAGTATTACTCCATTTTCAACTATCTCTATAACAATACTAATTTACCACATTTTTCATTTCTACTTCTCCATATTATCTCACAATATAACCATGCCATCAATTTATGGCACTAACAATCTCTCATCATGTTCAATTCATAACAAGTTAGTCTCTTCAAGACTACATGTGTTGTTTTTCAAACACTAACTCCAATTTTTACAATTTTCACTAACCAAGATGCACAACTATTAGCTATCTCTCAACAATACACTTTCAAATTTTTGATAATAAAGTTAGAATCACATTTCATTTCTCATATATCAAGTAGATTTCCATTTTTGCTAAACATATACAGAAAGTTCACTCTTTTAATACAAACAACAAGATACCCCTAAGCATGTTCACATCTTTCAAAAATCCCCAAAACTTCTAGGGTTTTATGTCAAAAATAAAACAAACATCTCCACCTTTTGAAAAGATTTTCTCTCATGACATCACCCCTCCTATTATGTGAGTTAAAATTCTCAAGAAGATAGTTTAGAAAGAGAGAGAGATCAAACCCACCTTTAAAACCCTAGCATTTATGAGACAAGACCAAACCTTCAATATCATTAATGAAACCCTTAAAATCAACCAAATCTAACATAAATGTATATATAACTCAAGAAAATTTCCCTAATCAGGTTTTGATGAAGAAGAGGAGTTGAAACCCTAGGATTGACATAGTGTCAAGAACCAAATCTCCACCACACACAAGATAGCTCTAGAGATGTTCTCAATCTTTGATGAGGGAGTCAAGGTTGGATCTCAATGGATGAAAGAAGATCAAGGGTTTTGATCTTGCTTTGAGGTTGAAATGTAGAGAGAAGGAAGAGATATGTATTTTTAGAGAGAGAGAGAGAGGTGCAGCTGAAGTGATACATTCAGCTAAATTAGAGAAATAAAAACAGGGATTTCGGACTGCCAATCGTCCCGCAGATGCAGCACGTGCCCCGCACGTGCAGGGCCTCTCTCCCGCATGTGCGGCTCCCATCCCCATACGCACAGCCCTCTCTGCACGCACCAAGTCCTGCACCTGCATATATTGCAATGTACTGCCCCAGCTTTCCCCTGAAATCCGCACGTGCGGCCTTCTCCCACACATGCGGCCCTTGGCCCTTGCACGTGCGGCTAGCCGAACAATCCAGGAAAGCTTTAGTTCAACCCCCGGACACTCCAGACCAGACCTCACGCTCTCCAGAACAAGTGACATTTGACATCGAAGGAAAACAAGAACAAGAACATTAAACTTTGAGAGCAATTCCTGAACTTTTCAAACCAAATCAAAATAAAAGAGGGACGAAGAGGAGAAAGAAAGGAAAGAAAAGAAAAGGAAGACCCAGTCATCACAAAAGTGATGCGACAAAAAAAAACAAAGCAAAAAAAAAAAAAAAAAAAAAAAAAAAAAAAAAAAACAAAAAAAAAAAAAAAAAAAACAAAGAAAAACAAACAAAACAAAACGAAACAAAACAAAACAAAAAAACAAAGAAACAAAAACAAAAACTTTTATTATTCTGTCATATACCAAACAGTTTGTGGAAAAGCCAAAAAAACATATCTCCAAATAATCTTGCCCCTTAAATCTCTCAAGCCAAAAAATAATAATAATAATAAAAAACATTGATGGGATTTGCAAACAGGCCATTCTTTTCCAGCCAATGAAAACATCCTTTCCTACAAATGATAAGCAAAAGCATGCTAAATCGAAAGCATGAAATCATACTTTTGGCATCACCCCAACAATTACCATGAAAGCCATTCAAAAGCACCTTTAAAGCATATTAACCATTTTTGCCTAATTGCAGGTCATGCCTCAAACATAATTCTAGGTCAATTTTGTCTAGTAGAAATGGACAAGATTTGTTAGCACACAGAAGTTTAAGGAGAAAGTATTTCTTATAAAAGAATCATTTGGATCAAGTGGCCAAACACAAAATTCAACCAAATCGAAAAATGATAAAAAGAAAAACATGTCGTAATAACAAGAAATAATAACAACTCTCATCATCATGACAAATAAATGAAGAAAAAAAAAGCCTGTAGTTAAAGGAACTACATCAAAATTATCCTCCTATAATTTAATTTTGGAATTGTTTCCAACATAATACTTAATACAAGGCAGACAAATAACAAAAAAAGAAAAAAAGAAAATTATAAATGAAAGAGACTGTTGACTAGTTGAAAGGATAAACTATATTGACAGAGAAAGAATTGAGTCAAATTCATGGCAAAGTGCAAGATAAATGGTTAATGTCACATAAAAGCAAGACATATAGAAGGCCAAATTTTGGAAGCAAAAAGGGAATCCTCGTCACAACGTTAGATATTAGCATAAACATAAAAACTACAATGAATCATTTAAACTATTTTATACCTTCACCCTGATCATCGAAGAGCTATGCTAGCATACTTGACGATCCCAATTAGACTGAGGGTCCAAAACATGATGTTGTAGATACCCAAGTAATCATCTTCAGATGGAAATTTCAGTTGCATTGATGGATAAACGTACAGTGGGGAAGTCACAAGCCCTCCAAAAACAACTCCTAATGTCTTGTAAGCAAGTTTCAAAGTTCCCTGATCCAACATAAGAGATTTTACTCACAACTTCAAATTATAAAATTTTCAAAAATTTAAACTAAAACTTCATATTAAGAAGAAAAACAAAAAAGATAAGAGACAGAATTGAAGCTAGAGTAGTAAATAATTTCAAATATTTCTAAATGAACTATTAAACATAAACGTAACGACTTCAAATTAACAAATTTGGGAAACCCCAACTGGATCATGTATAAAAAAATAAATAAAAAAAATGATGAAAAATGAAAATTATGGTGAGACATAGTACTAGAATGACAATGTTTGTTGTTTGATTTGTTGTGGGAAAAGACAAAAAGAATGTAAACTAAATAATTGTTCGTTGTGTGATTATCAGCGAAAACAACAAATATCTATGACAAAAGTTAGTAAAATAATAATAATTAATTGTAACTTTTATTTGATAAAAATTCTAATTTTGAAAAAAAAAAAAAGAATTTAGGGTATAACTAGCCATATAACTACCATCAGTGTATTTTGAGAAAACGCAAAAAATGGAACATCAACACCATTATAATAGGATACAGAGATAGAGAGATAGATAGATAGATAGATAGATAAATGTATTATATTACGATAAAGCACACAATAATTCAAAAACTTTTTGATGCTTTTTTGTTTTAGCCAAAGGAAAATGAGTGAGACCCCCAATTTTGGAGATCTCATGACTCCCAAAATGATCTGGACCACTTATGTGTGTGTGTTTTTTTTTCTATCTCTCTCACATGAGTGGTCTAGATCATTTTGTAGGTCATGAAGGTCTTCAAATTTGAGGTCTCAATCATTGTTGTTAGCCAAAATACCTTTTAAATTGGTAATAACTAATGAAACTCCACATCCATCCAGTAATTATTAAACATTTTTGTAATTCAATCCTCGTTTGTTAAATTGTCAAAAAAAAAAAAGTAATGAATAATTACAACCAAAAAAAAAATGAAATTTTTTTGTTACACTAATAATTTAATAATTTATTTTTAAAATCATATTTACCGTTACCTTTTATAATAAATAACTATCGATATTTCATCAATATAATTTTATTACATTGATGAAATACTCGACTAGTTGGATTATTGATGTGGGTTGCTTGACGGGTTAACAGCACCCTCTAGTTCAATATGAATATATACATATAGATACATAGATGTATAGTGTGTGTGTGTATGTGTTGTGTGTGTGTGTGTGTACGGGTAATAAATACATACCTTGTCCCCTGAAGGTTGGATTGGAGGAGGAGTGGCGGAATTGAACAACACCAAAGCGATGTCGTCCGACCGAGTGGCAACCGAGTCAGGGATTCCGGGTTGCCGATCCATCTCACATTCCACAACTACCACTTCTCTCTTCATTGCGCTGTCCCTCTCTCTCTCTCTCTCTCTCTTAGAGAGAGAATGGAACAGAAGAGCTTCTTCAAGTTGTCAGGTGGGATTGTGGAATTTAAAGAATTACAGATTTGTTTCTATAGAACAAGACAAGGAAAAAGCAATAATGTAATAAACACATAAATTAAATATAAAATAGAACTCACATATCTATCTATTTATCTATCTCTCTATTATTATATAAAGAAAAAGAGATTTTTAACCATAAGACCTCTAATATCTCTAACTAAATTTTATAATTTTTTACTTTTAAAAGTTTAAAAAAAATTTATTGGCTCACTCTTATTTAAGTAAATAAATAAATAAGTAAAAATTAATATTTCTTAATTTATGACTTTCAAATAGAAATTATATCAAATTTTAAAAAAAAATTAAAAATATACTAATCCATTTCAAAATTTAACTTTGCAAATGACTAAATATAGAAAGTAATCTATTAATTTAAATTGGGAACTTTTTTCATAAATCCCGTTTCTAACACTGCTATACCATAAAACCCAAATCAGTTTTTATTATCCGCTTAGGTCCCATTCTAAAAAACAAAACCATTCATATTCCCCATATCTTCACTCCAAAAAAAATACATTAACTGCACACTACTATTTAATGTTACTATATCTTCACTCCTTGAAAATGCATTAACTACACACAACTATTTAATCTTGATATATATTATACACAAAAAATTAAACATGGTTCTTTATTAATTGTCATTATGTTTTGGCAGTTTCCATGTATCCAAATATTGACTGTACCTGACGACATGAATGTTCACATTAGATGACGTGAATGTGACTGTTCACATCAGATGACGTGAATGTGAATATTCACATCAAATGACGTTGTGAGAACAATAATGTTAAGGTCACATCAGTATTATATTAAATTACACAACCACAAGCCTCAACTTTCTTTTGAATATAAACATGATGTGAATGTTCACATTAAAGCATATGAATGTGAATGTTTACATGAATTCTATAATATAGATATTAACATTATGAACATTAACATTTGTATTCACATTTCTATGTTTTAGTGTGAATATTCACGTTATCTGATATTAATATTACGAACATTAATATTTGTATTTACATTCGTATCTTTTAGTGTGAACATTCACGTCATCTGATGTGAACATTCACATTCACATCATCCGATGTGGACATTCACGTCATCATGTACAGTCAACATTTAGATGCATGAGAATTACCAAAACATAATGACAATCAATAAAGAACTATGTTTAATTTTTTGTGTGTGATGTATATCAACATTAAATAGCGGTGTGCAGTTAATGCATATTAATATTAAATATAAGGGTATAAGAATCTAAGAAAATAGTGTAAATTAAGAAAATGGATCTTATGGAATAAATGTATAAATACATGGGACTAAGTAGGCTATAAATTTCCTTCATGGATTTCTTGGGTTAGAACACTCCTAAATAGAATTTATCAATAAAACCCCCATATTTTTATATATTATATAAGCAAAGGAGGATTTTTTAAACCATAAGACCTCTAATAGCTCCAAATTCTCAATATAAATTTCATAATTTTTTGATTTTTAAAAATTTTTGAAATCTTCTATTGACTAGCTCTTATTCAAGCAAAAAAAATAATAATTAAAAATTAATATCCCTTAATTTATGACTTTCAAATGAAAATTACATCAAATTTAAAAAAGATGAAAATATACTAATCCATTTTAAAATTCAAATTTACAGGTGACTAAATATTAAAAGTAATCTATTAATTTAAATTTAAAATTACCACAATATAAATTTAAAATTATAACGATCTATCCCTTATAAGTTTTAACTACAAATTTAAAATTATCATAATTAGCTCATAATTTTTGTATTAAAGAGCAATAAAAGTTGAGATTATTTATATATTTATATGTTTTACAAAAAAAATACGTTTAAGAGATATTATGAAAGTTTCAAAACCTTATAATTACAAAACATTATCATCTTATTAAAGCTAAAAGTTGTAATTCTTTATTTTATTTTTTTGATTTTGTTTAATTTTTGTTAATACGAATATGATTGATCTATAAATTAATTTTATATTCTTAAAATAAAATTTTAAATTTAGATTCTTCCTTAAAATTGTGTTATCAGAATAAGATCAATATTCCTTTCTTAATTTATGCATCTTTTATTAAATTATAAAATTAAACTAAATTCTTTTTAAAATTATGTTACAACAATTAGAATTAGATCAATATTAGCATGTGTCATAATATTATTGGTTTAAAAATAATATATTATTAAATACACATATTCAAATTATTAATCACTTTTGAAGGTTTATATTTTTATATTTTGTCATTTTTGGTTTTAAATTTTATAAAAAAAAATTAATTTTATATCCTTCTAAAATATATAAGGACTTGAACAAAAAAAAATAAAAATTAATACAAATATATTTTCAACAAAAGACAAAAATATTAAGAAAATAAATAACTTTTTCAACAATTGCCAAACATAATGGATTCAATTTTTTTATTTTTTTTATTGTCTCAATTGTCAATAAACAAATTAAAATAAAAAAATACATTTTTTTTGGTTGAAATAGTTAAGAAGTGACTTTTGATAAAATCAAATAGAAACAACATTTTTTCCCTAGGGCGAATTATACTAACGGTCCCTGTAGTTTGAGGTTTGTGTCACTTTGGTCCCTAACTTTTTAATTGTGATACAATTTCTATCTATCTATCTATTATATAAGTAAAAATGGATTTTTCACCCATTCAATTCTCCTAATTCTTATGCAATTTCTACAACAATCATAACTATCTTCCATTGATAGCCCAAAATAGATATTTCTAAATAGATAAATAAATTTCAAATAAGGCTATACTTTCCAAAAATTCAAGAATGGAGTGATAATACATATCCAACTCTGCCATCTTCATCAACGTCAATCCAATTTCACAAATCTAACATCAATTCCATTTATCTATAAAAAATCAACATTCAATAAATTTAGGGCAAATCCCATTTTTCTTTGTAAACCAATCCCAAGGATAAAAATCCATCTTTTCATCATAACTCCACAACAAATACATTTCCTCAATCATTTCTAACAATTTATTTGAAAGCTCCTCTTTTTAATTTCAACCCAAAACCCTAAGTTTGTCCAAAATGCCCAAATCACAATGTTGTTTCAAAAACATAAATAACTAAGTTAAAAATTATAAGAAAGTGCAAAGATATCCCTACCTCAAGCTTAGAAGACAATAGATAGAAAAGAGAAACCACAACGAGGTCGAAATCCAACTTTGTTCTGATTAGAATGAAACACTAGGTGAGCTTTACCTTTTTATTAAAGGGATTAGGGCGAAGAAATCAACGGATCTAGGTGTATTTGTAGAGAGAATGTGAGTTCTATAGAGAGAGGGTCTCAACTTAGGGTTTTGAAATGTTTAGAGAGACAAGGAATGAAAAAGTGACAAAAAAATATGACTTTACGGACTAATATACGCGCAAACCAATCGAACGCAAGAAGTGTCGCTCGAGCGACCAGACACAATAAGTAGGACCGCTCAAGCACACAAAATCACCGCTCAAGTGAAGAATACCAATTGTCAGAAGTTTTACAAATAGAGGACCATTACTCGAGTGCAAGAAAGACCGCTCGAGCGAAGAATGCCATCTCCCAGTATCTTTGCAAAGCTGCAAAAGTACTGGAAGTTCACAAAGACCACTCAAGAGCAGGAATCACCGCTTGAGTGAAGCGGCAGAATTCTGGGCAACAATAGTTTTGAAAAATAAGCTACCAACCTGTTCCAAATGCAATTGAGACATTCAAATAACCAAACTCAATGAGGAATAAGGAGAAACAAAACATGAACAACTATATAAGACAATGAAACTTGGATCCAGAACATCAATGGGTTAGGTCTAAACCCGAATTGCTATAACCTTCTACCCCTTAAGGAATTTCGTCCCTAAAATTTTAAATCCAACAACAAAACCATGTTTAAACCCATTTACAACAATGATAGCAAATCAAATATGAAGCATACAGATATGAAACCAGAAAGTTGTGGTAGTATAGCCAAATGATAAGTTACCTCCCCAATCTGCTTTAGGAACTCAAAAGGCCTAACAAATTTAGGAGACAGCTTCTCGTTCTTCCCAAACCTCATCAAACCCCGTCTAGGTGATATTTTCAAGAAGATGTGATCTCTTATCTCAAATGATAACAGCCTCCTCCTACGGTCGGCATAGCTCTTCTGACAACCCTGAGCTGAAACCAACATCTTACGGATAAGTGTAACCTTTTCCATCATTTCTCAGACTAACTCAGGACCTAACATAGGTGCGTCACCCACCTCGACCCAACACACTAGAGATCTACATGGTCGGCCATACAAGACCTCAAACGGTGTCATGCCAATACTTCCCTGAAAGCTATTGTTACAAACAAACTTCACTAATGGATAGTGTCTCTCTTATAACCCCTTAAAGTCAAGAACACAAACCTGAAGCATATCCTCTAGAATATGGATGTTACACTCTGATTGCCCGCCAGTCTGAGGATGATAGGCGGTGCTAAATGTCAATCTAGTTCCTAGGGCATGTTGTAGGCTCTGCCACAGTTGATCAGTGAAATGTGGATCTCTATCTAAAACAATAGTCATAGGGACTCCGTGAAGTCGATGTCCCTAACATAAAGGTCCGCAAGATAATCTATCGAGCAACTTGTGCGCATAGGTACAAAGTGCGTTGACTTAGTTAACCGATCAACTATCACCCATATGGCATCATTGCCCTATTGAGTCCTCAGAAGACCTACAACAAAATTCATGGTAACATGTTCCCACTTCCACTTGGCTATATGCAAGGGTTGCAACAAACCTGTTGGCCTCTGATGCTTAGCCTTCACTTGTTGACAAGTAAGGTACCTTAATACAAACAAGGCTATGCCATTCTTCATTTCCCTTCACCAAAACTGGCGACTAAGGTCGTGATACATCTTTGTGCCTCTCGGGTGCACCGCAAGGCGTGAATGG